TGTGAAGAAATTATCAAGTGCTCAGTCAGGAATCTGTAAAGGGCAGGTATTTTTATTCCCAAGGACTCAAAGTAAGTTTATCACAGACTCAGTCTGCATAAATCCTCACCTATACATGTTAGCGGCACCCAAAGGAAACAAATTATTTGCTCCAATGAGGCTAAAGGATCAGGCCTTCCTGCAGCTGTAGATTTGACAATTGGTGACAAATGAAAGTCAAGACAATTCTTGAAAACTATGTGAACCTACCTTGAATAGTTGGGGTTTTTTTTTTGTGCTACTCAGATGGAAATAAAACTGAAAGATTTCCTAGAATGTAAAATTCTTAAATTATAGGTTTTCAGCATCAGTCACAAGCTGCCTGGCACATGGATGCCACGGAGTATTATTTTTGAACAAAAAAAGCCATTGATGCTTAGATTATCCGCTCATGTTAAAAGTTAATAAGGGCCAGATGGATCAAGAAATTCATGCTATTTCAGAAAAAAATATTATTTTAGGTGCAAAGATCAGAGCTAACCTCTCTGGGACAGAGAGGTACAAAAAGACATAAATTAGCTGCCTTTCTCTTGGCCTTGTTCTCTTCTTTGGGTAGCTGGAATTTAATGATGGCATGAGCAATATAGTGACTCACTGCTACCAAAAGGATGGTCATCTCACTTAATGTGACAGTACTGGTAGTCAGCAATGTTTTGGGGTACCTTATTCAGCTCACAAATTCAGAACAAAATGAACCCATTAAAACACCCCTTGAGTTTCCTAGTGTGTTAGTGAATTGAACTGGCTTAGTGGAATGTCTGGTGGTTGCCAGAACTGCTGTGAGGTGATGGAAATCTGCAGCCAGAAGGGAAGACAGTATTATTTAGAATAGAATAGAATAGAATAGAATAGAATAGAATAGAATAGAATAGAATAGAATAGAATAGAATAATTTCAGTTGGAAGGGACCTACAACGATCACCTGGTCTGACTGCCTGACCACTCCAGGGCTCCCTAAAAGTTAAAGCCTATTATTGAGGGCATTGTCCAAATGTCTCTTAAACACTGACAGGCATGGGGCATCAGCCGCCTCTCTAAAGGAGCCTGTTTGACCACCCCCTTGGTAAAGGAATGGTTCCTTGTGTCCAGTCTAAACCCCCCCAGTGCAGCTTTGAGCTGTTCCCATGCATCCTGTTGCTGGATCCCAGGCAGAAGAGCTCAGCACCTCCCTCTCCACTTCCCCTCCTCAGGAAGCTGAAGAGAGCAATGTGGTCACCCTTCAGCCTCCTTCTCTCCAAACTAGACAAACCCAGAGTCCTCAGCCGCTCCTCACAGGACATGCCTTCCAGCCCTTCCACCAGCTTTGTTTCCCTCCTCTGGATGCAATCAAGGACCTTCATATGCTTTTTAAATTGTGGGGCCCAGAGCTGCACACAGGACTCAAAGGCAGGCCACACAATGCTATATACAGCAGGATAATCGCCTCTCTTGACTGGCTGCTTATACTGTATTTGATGCACCCCAGGATGTGGCTTGCCCTCTTGGCTGCCAGGGCACGCTGCTGACTCATACAGAGCTTAATATCAACCAGCACCCCCAGATCCCTTTCTGCAAGGCTGCTCTCCAGCCACTTCTCTCCCAGTCTATACTTGTGTCCGGCACTTCTCCGTCCCACGTGCAGATTGCCCACTGCTCCAACCTTTCTGGATCCCTCTGCAAGTCCTCTTGTTGCTCGAGAGAGTCAACAGCACCTCCCAGTTTAGTATCATCAGCGAACTTACTAATGGTGCACCCAACTCCTGCTTCCAGATCATTGACAAAAACATTGAACAGAACTGGCCCTAGAACTGAGCCCTGAGGAACACTGCTGGTGACTGGCCACCAGCCAGACATAGGCCCATCCACTACAACCTCTTGAGCCCTGCCAGTCAGCCAGTTCTTCACCCAGCACACGGGGCAGCTGCTCATCTCACAGTTGGACAGCTTGTCCAGAAGGGCGCTGTGAGGGACAGTATCAAAAGCCTTACTAAAATCCAGAAAAGCTGCATCTGCCACCTTCCCTTCACCCACTAGGCGGGTGACCTTCTTGTAGAAGGATATCAGATTAGCTATACAGGGCTTTACACGTTAACTGTAACGAGATGATTGCATTGTCCTTGAAATGCCTTTCAGTTGCACCCAGTAGGACCTTCTCCATAAATTTTCCAGGTACTCAGGTTAGACTAACAGGTCTGTAGTTTCCTGGGTCTTCCCTCATGCCCTTCTGGTAAATTGGAATAATGTTGGCTATCTTCCATGCAGCAGGGACCTCCCCAGACTCCCAAGACCTTTGGCAGATGATTGAGAGGGGTCCTGCTGTAAGATCCCCTACCTCTTCCAATACTCTGGGATGAATCCCACAAGGCCCCATGGACCTATTCAACGCATACAAGCAACCCATTAGAATTTCAGGGTCCACAAATGGTAAGTCACTGTTCCCACAGTTGTGGTCCTCCAACTCAGAGGATTGGGCAGCCCAAGGTCTATCATTAGGATTAAAGACTGAGGCAAGAAAAGCACTGAATGCCTCCGCTTTTTCTGCATCCTTATTTGCCAGGTGACCATCTTCATCAAGTATTGGCCCAGTGTTTTCCTTAGACTTCCTTTTGCTAAACATACTTAAAAAATCCTTCCATGTCTGACACAACACTGGCCAGTTTCAACTAGAGTTGAGCTTTGGCCTTTCGTGCCATTGGGAACTGGGTCTTTCACTGGGACCCTGCAGCAGCTCTTGGTGCCAAAACCAGCAGCCGCTTTCTGTCCCTCCCCTCATCTTGCATGGCCGGCTTGGCTACAGAAGGGGTCATGGAGCGGTGTGTGAGAGGAGGGTGAGGGGCCCTGGGGAGCACAGAGAAGATGTGCTGCCTTTTCTGCAGGGTTGACTCACAGCAGAGAGGAGCTGTGCTGGGGGAAGTCCTTCAGAGAGCATGTGATGGGGAGGGGTGGTGGGGGTGGTGGTCAGGGGTGCTGGGGAACTGGTGGCACCCATCTGCCACAGAGGGGTCCTTTCCAAGCTGAGGAGAAGAAATGCCAGTGCCAAGGCTGGATCTGGAGGAGCGGGAAGGGGGAAGGAAGCCTGTGCTCAATGGCAGCAGCATGTCCATCTTTCTTGGGTCCTGTCCCACAGCACTTGAATGACGGGAAAGAGGGCCCAGCAAAACAAGACAACCCGATTCAATGGTGCTCCGATTAGCGTGAAGAGGCCCTTCAGGTCCACACGGTCAGGCCCCACAGTGCTTGAATCAGGGGAAAGGGCCCCTGCAAAAGCACAGGGCCAGGCGCCATGGCACCTTGCTCAAAGGAAAGGGGCCCTGTAAGACCATAGGGCCAAGACCCAGAGCACTGTGCTTTGGGGAGAGATGCACTCCCATAGCACAGGTCCAGCCTCACAATAGTCAAAGCAGGGCAATGAGGGTGTGCAAGACCAGAGGGAGAAAGCCCTATGGTGCTCTGCTACAGACTACAGGAAAGGGCGGGGATAGCCCCAGGAAAAGGGGGAGAAAGCAGCACGGATGGGGATAGCAATGCCACCTCTTAGTAACACTGAGACTTTTTCTGCAGTTTTCAGGCCTTTATTTTCTTTTACTGCCTGATAATGAGACTTAGAGGGCTGGGAGCCCTTGAGGGCTGGCACATGTCCCAGCTGCTGGCCCAGTCCTGGTTTCAGCAGCGCCTGGGGTGTTCTTCTAGTGTTGCTCCTGGGGTGGCCTCTTCTTGGCTGGAGAAGAGGCCTAGAGCCCTTGGGGCTGCCAGCCCTCCTCTTCGGGAGTCGCCATGGCTCCCCAGGGGAGCGTTCCCTGCCCCAGCTGGAAACAGATGGGTGTGTCGCGGCCCCCTCGGACTCCTTCTGGGGCTCTTCTTGCTCCCTGGGGATAGGAATGGGGGCAGAAGGGCTGTCGGGACCCCCATGAAGGGCAGCTGCTGATGTGCTGGAGGGGTCGTCCGCATTGGTTCCTTCAAGGCTGATGGAGGGGGCCAGGTCAGGTGTAGGAGACCCTCCTCAGGACGCAGTGGGGCCGGGGGCAGCCATGGGACTGCCCTCCCAACTCCCTGGCAGCAAGGCCGCCCTCCAGGCCCAGCAGACACCAGGCCTCTTCGCTGCACCATTGCATGGCGACGTCAATAAGCTGGTGCACAAATGTCGCCATGCGGTTTTGGAGGGAAGCCCCCAGCAGCTGGACCAGTAGATCTTCATCCAGCCCAAAGAGAACCAGGAGGGACGTGACAAGGCCCTCCACTGTGGGTGCCCGCAGACGCCGGTTCCCAAAGATCAGTTCCAGCTCCTGACGCACCCAGGTCAGAAGGGGCCGGAGGACAGCTGGGTGGTCCTGGAAAAGGGATGCCCAGGTCTTGGTCCTGAGGCCGCCCAGAGGAGCCCTGGGCACCAGCCACACAGGCTACACTTGTGTTGCTGCACGGCGACACAGGCTGTGAGCAGCTGGACGGCCAGGAGCTCCTCCTGCCTGGCGGCTCATGACCGATGACGCTGCAGATGGGGGAATGACATGCTCCTCAAAGTTGTTGTCCGCCTGCACTGAGTGCACAATGGAGAGGATCTCCTCTTGCAGAGGGGGCACTTGGGCTTCCTCTCAGCCCACCGCAAGATGCATGGGTAGCAGAATTCGTGGAGGCATGGCGTCGCATAGCTGGACTCCTCCCAGCTGGCCAGGCATATGGGACAGCTGCTGTCCAGCTCCATGGCCATGCTCTCCACACGCTGTGGTGGGCTGGGGGGAGCTGGGGATGTCGAGCTGCTCCCTCACTGGCACTGCAGCAGCAGGGGTCATGCTAGAGAAGGAAGAGAGCCCATGGTCATTGGCTGGCCTGGGGAGGGGTGGAAGAAATGCCCTGATCCCTCAAGAAGGAAACCCTCCCAGCTCCCCAAGGCGAGGTGTCCCCGCACAGCTCACCTCTGCTGCTGCAAACGCACCTCCTGGGTGCCCCGGCTGCCCGAACCTGGCAGGGCTGGGGAAAATCCTTTGATGGCTCTGGGCTTGGGCACTGAGAGCTGCAACAAACAACTCTCCGAGCACGACACCAGCACCAAAGGCCTCACTCGACACTCCAAACCTCGCAAACTCACTCAGCTGGAGTGTGGGTACGAGCTGGCCAGGTGAGACTCAGTGCCCAGATATAAGCAGTGAGGGATGCACGGTCACAACCCATTGCTCGGGGACGTCACGATGGGCCATCCTTGCCCACAGCACTTGCCCCGGCAGCGCTGAGGCCCCAGCACACGCGTCTGGGGCTACCGCAATGCCACTGCCCACTCCGTCCCCCCACCTCTTGACTCAGCACGGCATCGGTGTTTCACATCAGTCACTGAGGCCTTGGCTGTGTCTTCCCAGGACCCTGTGAGGTTCCTCTGGCTGTGGCAGAAGTCTCCAGGCGCTTCTGTTAAGGGGGTTCACTGGATAACAAACACCTCGTGCCTCCCTTGGAGGCTGCAGGACAGAGTCCCACAGGATCTCCCCATGCTCCAGCACTGCTGGCCAGCCCTCTGGGCTTCCCTGCTTCCTCCCACGGGGCGTCAAAGGCAGCGCTTGGCTCGCTCGCGCAGGTTTTCTACCTTTCTCCCGCAGCTGGGGGGTCACAAGGAAACGCGGTCCCAGTCTCCCCAGAGCCCAGGCATGCCCCTCGGAACCCACCTGTGCTGCTACAGCTTCCCACCTTATAGAAAATCCGCTGAGCACTATTCGGGTAACGAGAATCACCTACGAAGTGGGCGGCCTTGTCTGGGCAGACAGCTGAAAGGACCTGCCGAGGTCCCTTTCTGACATTTTTTTTTTTGGTGGTACAAACGAACATCCCACAGAAGCCCCGGCCGGGGTCACAGGCCAGCGCCAGCCGGGGACGGCACCCCACAGACCCTTAACCCTCACCCCGCTGCCTGCCGAGAGGGGCA